CACTTTTGATTGTGTCATTGTCAATATTTATGGTCCAAATGATAGTGCCACTAGGAAGAGAGTGTGGGATTCTCTGGTTAGTTTGAATCTGTTATATAGAAAACCTTGGTGTTTGGGGGGAGATTTTAATGAAGTTAGGTGCATATCTGAGAGGATAGGCTGCTCTAGGAGAGATAAGGGTATGAGAGAGTTTAATGAGCTTATTGACAATCTGGAAGTGTGTGACACTCCAATGTTGGGAAGGAAATTTACCTGGGGTAATTCGCAGGCTGATGAGAAGTGGAGTAGGATTGACAGATTTTTGCTCAGTCCTGAATGGATGAGTAAGTTCAATTTTAAACTATGGGGGTTACCAAGAAGGGTATCATTGTCCTATTTTGCTCATGGAAGATGAGCGGGATTGGGGTGCAAAGCCATTTAAATTCATAAATGCTTGGACCCTCCATCCTAGCCTCTTAGCTCTGGTACAAAAAGTTTGGAAGGAGACTATTGTGGAGGGTTGGAGTGGGTTCAAATGTCTAAGAAAACTCAAAGCGCTTAAACTGTGTGGGATTGGCATTACTGAGGACCTCACTAAAGGTTTTGCTGAAAAATTGAACTGTCTTCATCAAAACCTGCCTTTAAAATACTTAGGGATGCCATTGGGGGATTGTCCAAGGAGAAGAAGATTCTGGCAACCTGTGATTGATTAGTGTAAACAAAAACTAGCCTCTTGGAAGAAGAGATTCCTATCATTCGCAGGTAGATTAACTCTGATAAAGTCAGTGTTGTCTAGTTTACCAATCTATTACTTATCTTTGTTCAAGATGCCGGACGGGGTTGCAAAAGAAATTGATAGAGTTCAATCTAGATTCTTATGGGGAGGTGATGAACTTAGAAGAAAGATTCATTTAGTAAAGTGAGAGGAGATCTCTAAAAGTAAAAACCAATGGGGTTTAGGGGTTAAAAGGATCAGGCTTATGAATGATTGTCTTCTCTTAAAATGGTGGTGGAGGTTTGGGGCTGAAGATAAAACCCTATGGAAGCTGGTCATATGCAGCAAGTATTATGAGGATGGGAGGGGATGGTGGCCTGTTCCTGTGGAGAATCTCAGGTGCTCTCTGATCTGGAAAGATATTTTGGGGATTGCTTAGGGTAGGTCTGATTTGGTGGAATTTTTAAAAATAACATAGCCCTTGCTATTGGAGATGGGAAGAGAATGCTTTTCTGGAAGGATAATTGGGCTGGAAATATATGTTTGAAAGATGTATTCCCTAGATTATATTCTCTATCAGTGGGAAATGATGAATCTGTGGGCTTGGTGTATAGTAGAAGAACTGGTGCTGGGGAGTGGAATCTGAATTTTAGAAGGTCTCTATTTCAGTTGGAGGTGGAGGAGTTGAGGAGAATGCCTACAATGTTACTTAATGCTCCGGCTCTTAGGAAAGGTAGAAGGGATATGTTGAGTTGGAGTGCAGATACCTCAGGGTGATTCTCCGTAGCATCAGCTTATAGATGGAGTCAATTGGGTCTTGGAGCTATTAGCAAGACTGCTGTATTCATTTGGAAGAATGTATCTCCTCCCAAGGTTTAGTTTTTTGGTCGGTTAGCATGGAAAGGGAGAGTTAAGTCCTCTAGTTATCTGCATAAAATTGGTGTTCTAAATGCTGGATCATCTATTAATTGTACTTTTTGTAATGGGGAGGTAGAAAGTGGTCTCCATGTGTTGTTGCTTTGCCCTTTTTCCTAAAGGATTTGGTCTAAGATTATCGAATGGTGGGGTATTCAATGGGCAACACCTGGGTCTGTGAGCAACTTACTCAATTGGTGGCCTGGTTGGAAAGTATCAAAGCAGCTGAAGTTAATCTGGAATGTTGTTCCTCTGGCAGTGCTCTGGTTCATTTGGAAGCAGAGGAATGACTGTCTTTTTAATAGTGCTCAGGCTGATGTTGAAAGTTTGTGTGATTCCATTAAGGTGAGGATTGCATTATGGACCAAATCTTCTTGCCCAGCTGTAGTTTACTCAGTCAATGACATTGTTCATCATCTTCAACAGGTTATAGTCTGCCTTGGCTAAGGTTACTGTCTAGCTAATTTATGTAGTATTGTGGATCTAGAGCCTGGGTTGGCTTGTCCTGTGTTGCACTGATGTTTTAGTTCTGGCCTGTTCTGTTTTCTTTCTGATCTGTCCCTGTGTTGTATGATCTGTGTTATTGTGGTCTGTTGTGAGATCCGTGTTATTGTGGTCTGTTGTATGATCTGTTTTCTTTCTAGTATTGTGTTGCACTGATGTTTCGTTCTGGGCTGGTTTACAAGGCAACAGGTCAGGTGCTGGTTTGTAAGGTAGAAGACTGCTATTGTGATCTGTCCCTGTGGTGTATGATCTGCTGGAATACAAGGCACCAGTTCTGTTCTCCTTAGCATCAGGCTGTTCTGTTTTCTTTTTGATCTGTCCCTGTGGTGTATGATCTGTGTTATTGTAGTCTGGAATACAAGGCACCAGTTGAGTGTGCATTAGCATAGGCTGTAGAGTTCTAAGTTTGCATTGGTGCTACTAGTCTGCTAGTAGCAGGTTTGTTGTGGATAAGGCTGCTGTTTCTGCTGGTTTACAAGGCACCAGTTCAGGTTGCTGGTTTATAAGGCTGCTGTTTCTGTTGGTTTACAAGGCACTAGTTCTGTTTTCCTTAGTTGTCTACTGCTGCTGATGAGCAGTTCTTTGCTTCAGTTGCTGTGCTTTGGAGTTGTTGGTGACAATGTGCTATTGCAAATCTGCTATTCTACTCTGGCTGCTGTGAAGTTCTGTTTGCTACTGTGTCACTGTATGTTTTGTTTTGTTGATTTTTGCTAGGATGATGCTGGGGTCTGTGCTAAGGTTACAGGGGCACTTTTTTGGAACATCTGCTTCTATGTTTGGAATCTGACGTCAAGTTACATTCCTTTATGGGAAAGTGTCAAGATAAAATTTGTCTCATTTCTTGCTCATCCCTACATTCTACTTCATTGCTTAGTATGGTGGTGAGGGTCAGATGATAACGCTCACAGCCTTCTTAGGACTAACAAGTGGTTATCTCACTGTCTGTATCTTCATAGAAGATCCAATAGGTTACAAGGGTCCTAAGAAATACGCAGTAGAGCTGATGCTAGTTTGATGTTGCTATTGGGTGTTCACTTCAGTTGGCTGCTGCTCACTTCAGCTGGTTGCTGTTCACTTCAGTGGGCAATATGGATTGCAATAGCCATTCCACCAACCAGTAGATATCAAGGGTAGAAGCATGGCTGCTGCTGCTTTATTTGGACTGCTGGTGAGCTGTGTGGTAGTTTTACTCTGTGGTGGGCTTTACTACCATACATATGGATTGCTGTCATGATCTGCTTTGATTTGTCATCTAGTTTTGGTCTGTTTATTTCTTTATTTTATTGTTGTTTGGTAGTCTTGGGTTGTTTGGTCTGTATCAGGTTTGGTTAGCTGTTATTGGGTGAGGTTGTTTTGGTGTTTGTGGTTGGTGTTTCTCACCAACTCGTGATGGTGTGCTAGCATATGATTGGGCGGCCTTTGTAGTGCTAACCTAGTTGGGACTGATTAGGTTCGCTATGATGCTCTTTGCACTCATCCTTCTCTTTCTTTTTTGATGTAATAGTTTTCTGTTTCATCAATAAAGTTCCTTTTCTTTGCTGATCAAAAAAAAAAATGGTGGTAAATAGAAAGAGAAACCTACCTAAAACCCAAAGCAAATAAGCCGAAGTGCAATTAGAAGTTGAGCATCAACACATTTTTAGCTCATGTTGTGACAATCACTAATATGAATTTTCATTTCATTTCTTTTCTTTTATTTATTTATTTATTTATTTTGGCTTTTAGTAAAGTTTAATAATAAATTGTGAACATCTTAACGTAAATTCAGAGTATACATACTTGAAATAGAAAAATATTTAAGCTGAAGCCCCTTCAAAAATTATACACCATCTTAAAAGTATCATCACCAGCTTTCTCTTGAGTGTTAATTTGTGATCTCAAAAGAAATGGTAGACTTAAAACCTAATGTAATACCCAAGACATGCATATAACTAATATATGAAGAGGGTAACTTCGTAATTTAAAAAAATTAGGTTAATAACCTCATTAGGTTTTACAGTTATTCTCAAAAAATCCAAAGAAGGGGATCTCTAGAGGATTCCAACAAAAGAGGTTGAAGAATCAATTCTTGGTACTAGTTCAATCTATTTATTTAAACTAAGAACTCTAGTACAACCTCTCCTTTCTATTATTTATTGTATTTCAATTTGGGGCTAAATTTCTTTAGGGTTTGGCTAGAACCCACAGCTTATGTATGATGTTTGGGTAGTTTTTGGCGATTAATCCGTGAGAAGTGCCTGAGGTAGCAAAGAATGGCAACATTTGTACCTTGCATAGGTCGGTGCAAGAAGCAAGGAGCCAAGGTGTGTTGTGTGGGATTCATATCACTTGCATGTATATATGGCTAGTTGGATATCATAGAAACCATAGTTGAAAAAAAAAAAAAAAAAAAAAAAAAAAAAGAAAGAAAAAAAGAAAAAGGAACTTATGAACGAAATTGCTTAACCAAACTGGTGAGTGTATGGGCGTTAATATTAATCAGCAAAGGTGATTTGATTATTATAAGTGGGTATGGGTTAAGGACATTTGCAAGACCTGAAGTAGATAGAATAGATGACTATTGTGGACAATGAACAATCTTAGACTTTGCATGAACACACATTAGGCAATGTTTTCTTTGATAATTATCGGGGAAATTGTATATCAGTGTAAATTTAGAAAAATAATTACAGATTAGTAGTCAAAGTTTATGAATATTAATAATTAAAATTATAGATTTTTGATGTATTTATAAATACACTGGAGTGTATTCCTTCCATAATTATTTATGTGGTGTTATATTTATTAGGACAATGAGATTGAAGTGGATCGTGGTATTTTGAAGTTAGTTTTTGGATTCTTTTAGCACTTGAGGTAAGTGACCCCCTACCACTGTCAGTGTTTCAACCTCAATGTTCTACCTGCAAAATGCTTCTTTGAGTGAGGTCGAGGCCAATTACTTGACTTGTTTTTTTGTTGATAATAAAAAATATTTTTCATTGATTTTCGTTTTCCATTATTCCAAACACGAGAAAATACAAACCACGCAAAAGGTTCCAATCCTAGATCTTCAATATGGGAAACAATATCTTTACTACTTAATAATAGCACACAACATATTCATTTTTAAATCAAAATTAAAATTTATATTTTACAAATTTAACAACACACTCATCAAGTAGACACACACTCACTAACATATATATACATTCTAATCTTTGATATTGTATCTGCAACTTCCCAGTATTGTGTAATGCATCAGCTTGACCAAAATTCGCCCTGGCTCCAAAAAGCTATGCCACTTGGATCAAATTGAAATGCACCGCAACTACATGACACAAATCAAAGATTGCTACAATTACTAAATTTCCTGAGCATATTGGATTTGACATGCATGTCACCCAAATATATTTTAAAAACCATGTATATGCTGATTAGATAGCTTCAATTAATGTATGATAACAATGAAAAAAAAATGAAAACAATGAAAACACTTTCGGTGTTGCTCAATTTTAATGGGAAGGATTCTCTCCCATCCACAATTTTACTAGAGGGGTGTTGTTGGGATTTATAGAGCCACCGCATATCCTATTTTGATAATTTAAAAAATAAAAAATAAAAAAATAGATTCATTATATTCATAACTATATGATTTCATTATATTTGTTTACAAAAACGAATGACAAGTATAATTTTGAAATTGTCCATTCATTTTTTTAAAGACCAATATGAAAAAAATTATATGGATATAAATATTGCATTAATCTAAATTTTATCCTAAATGATCTACACAATTTTTTTTTTTATACAAATTGTACGATTCAGATCATCAAAATAAGATCTATAATGTATCTTACGAACCGATTATCACACTTGTAATTCAATAGCAAATTATCTTTCCCATATTAATAATAGAAAGCAAAACATAAAAGAGGGCTTGTTTTCTTCAAATATTAAGAGAGACTTATGTAATTTACTCTAAACTGTACAACCAAAAACATATTTGTTTTATTCATTATTTGAGATCAGAGGTAGAGAGGAATATAAGTGTTTAATTGTAAAGGGTGAGCTGTCTAGTAAGTGTGAATAAGAAAAAAATAGGGGTTAGTTGTACCATTTAAATTTTCTAAATTCTTAAATTATTTTTTTTACCCATTAGATTAAATTTTCACTATTGCTGATTTGCAGATATCGTATCCAATTAAACCATATGAACTGAAATAAGAAACAATAAATGGATGCAACTAATAAATTAGGAATGAAGTAAAAAAAATGTGACTATAGTTTACTGTATAACAAAATATGAAAATGTATTGAATTTTAATATATGTACATATATATTTGCATTTTTATTTTTATTTTTATTTTTTGTGTTTGGTGAATTTTTTATTTTATAAATATTATACTTTTTAAGTGTATCTAAATTAGATGTATTTAATAAATAAAAAAATTGCGTAAAATATTAAAAAAAAAATCACTAAAAAGGAAAAAAAAAAAAAACTAAATTTTTTGAAAAGTGAATACTAAAAAGGAAAAAAAAAAAAAACTCAATTTTTTGAAAAGTGAATTAAACCAAACAAGGTAAACATATTATTTTTTTATTCATATAACTAATGAATTACTAATAAAAATAAGCTAAGTGTTAACCCACTATAATTATGAGAGGTTGGTGTAAATTTACCTAACCAAGCAGTCATTTTCTTATTCATTATTTGAAGTAGAGAGAAATCTGGGTTTTTGGTTGTCTAAATTGTAAAATTATTTTTTTAACCATTAGATTAGATTTTTAGCATTAATGATTTGGACAAATTGTCTCCCATATGAACTGAAATCATGAACAATAAAGACAAAAGATGCAATTAGTGATTTAAAAATGAAGTAAAAAAAGTGACTATAGCTTAAGGTATAAAAGTAAATTTAAAAAGAAAATGAAAAACTATTAAAAAAGTGTCCAAGTCTTGTACCTTTTGTCAATTGCAGCTATTAGAGTCAATAACAAACCTTTATTTTCACTACTCATTTATTACGTCCACGATTTTATTTTTTAATTGTTTGCATGATGATTTCCAATCAAGTGCTTTGTATAAACATCAAAAGAAATAAACTAGCTTTATTATGTATGATACAAATAAACTGCCAAGAAACTAAAAATAGACTAGATAACAACCATAACCAAGCCATAATTTTTCATGATCAAGCAAAAGGATGCAGAAATTCATTGTAATACTTACCAAAGGACACCATTTGCATTGGCTAATTTCACCTTCCTCTGTTCTTGTGAGCATGCTTTTTAAATCTCTTTCTGCTTTTGTTTCGTTCACCTTCAATGATCCTCACAAGCCATTGAGGTTTTCCTCTAGAGAACATAAGATATCCCATAACAAGTCCCCACACAAGCCCACATATATAACCCGGTAATATGACTTCCCAATTGAATCCACTTGAAGGATTGTCTTCTTGTTGAAACATCAAGGGTGGTGGTTGTGGTGTCCTTGGATTGCATGTATTAAGCAATGGAGGTCCACATAATGCCAAGTTGCCAATGTAGGAATCATTTAAAAATGTATCAAATTGGTTGCCTTGTGGTATCGGCCCTACTAGTTGATTTTGCGAAAGGTTCAAGACTGCAAGGGATATCAAATTCCTTAGTTGTTGAGGAATCTCCCCAGTGAATTTGTTGGAAGAGAGATCTAACCATTCAAGTGTTGTCAAATTAGCAAGAGATGCTGGTACATGACCTATAAGGTTGTTGTGGGATAAGTTGAGCCCTCGGATTGAATTTAGCCTTCCAATGATCTCTGGAATCTCACCTTCAAAATTGTTTTTCGATAAATCAATTGCAGTGAAAATGGTTAGGACTTTTACCATTTCTATGGTTGATCCTTTGATTACTATAGTCAAACAATCATTATAGTAATATGCTGAACTACTAGGCATCCCTAAGTAATTCAATTCAAAACTAGCTTCGTTGACATTCATCATAGCATTGAGATTCTTGAAATATTTTCTTGGCAATGGACCAGTAAAATAATTGTTTGATAAATCCATAACTCGCAAGTTGGGGAAGGGAAATTTGCACTCTGAATTCGGTAGAGGCCCATGGAATTTGTTAAATCTCAAAATTAGAACTTGTAGTGAAGTTAAATTTTCCAACCAATATGGAAATTTATCGGAGAACTTGTTATGTCCAAGGTCTAGCACTTTTAGCATTTTGCAATTGACTAAAGACTTTGGTACTGGGCCCTCAAATCCATTTCCGTCAAGGTTGATTGTTTCGAAGGAATTTCCCTTTACAAATGCATCAGGAATGGTGCCAGAAAAATTATTCTTTCGCAGATCAAGCACAGAGAAACCTATGCTGAAATTTCCTAAACATTGTGGAATAGAACCATTAAAGTTGTTACTAGATAGGACAAGAATTTGAAGGGAAATTGCATGACAGAGCATGTCTAGCTCACCACTGAAGTTATTTGATGAAAGAATGAGACTAGTAAGGTTCACGAGTTTTAAGGTTGAACTTGGAAACCTACCATGTAGGTTGTTATTGCTCAAATCAACAATAGTTAAATGAGTGGATTTGAACTCTTTTATTTGGCCAGTCAATTTGTTATTACTGAGGTTGAAGAAATCCAATGCTGGTAAGCTGAAGACCCAAGATGGAATTGTACCACTGATTAAGTTATTACCTAAAAGTAATGCCGCTAGATTTGGAAGTCCAATTATTTGTGATGGAAGAGGTCCTCTTAGCAGATTATCCGACAAATCTAACGCAAAAAGTTTTGTTAGGTTTGCATTGGGTAAAAAATCTGCGATTTTACCTTCAAAATTATTACCCTCAACTCCCAAGTAGATGAGATTTCCAAGGTTTGAAAGTGAAGATGGGAGCATGCCAGTGAAATTGTTTTCTCTGATGTCAAAATCAGTCATTTCCGTAAGGTTTCCGAGCGACGTAGGGATGGATCCATAAAATTTATTATCAAAGGCAGCCAAAATTTTCAAGGACTTCAAATTCCCAATTGAGTGAGGTAGTTCTCCAGAGAAATTAGTGTATGCAAGCTCCAAGTACTGGAGAGGACTGCTCGAGTTTATAAACTCGGGAAAATAGCCAGTGAGAGCAAGATTACCGAATATACGCAGGTTATTCAGATGTGGTAAATGGAATATTCCGTCAGGAAATTTTCCAAGCAACCCACACGAACTAAGATCGAGATGTGTTAAAGATGTGAGATTGAGCAAGGAATTCAAAACCACTGAAGATATGTTTACACTATCAAGATTAAGTTCTCTTACCTTGGTTAAGTTTTGAACAAGTAATTCAAATCCAGGTTCTTCCAACCTCAAACCATAATTGGAAGACAGATCAAGCGAGACCAATTTGCTCAGAAAGGAGACTTCTATAGGGACTTTGCCAGAAAAACTAGAGTGAGAGAGGTTGAGGTGTGTCAATCTGGTGAATCGACTAAATTCAGATGAGATTGGAGACATACCAAAGTCATTGAAAGCAAGGTTGAGGCTTCGGAGGGAGGAAAGTAGTAGAAGATGGTGGTATTGGGGTGGATGGTGCCGTTGAGCCAGCTGCAAGTGAGGTCGAGGCCAATTACTTGACTTGTGTTGTTGTCACACTCGACCCCATCCCATGAGCAACAATCAGAACCCTCCTTCCACGACTCCATCTTCGGGTAAGAATGGATTCCGAAATAATCACAGTTAAAGTAGGAAGCAGATTTATCGAAGGAAAATTGTTGCTTAAATTGGAGCAATGCAGAGGTCTGTTGTTGAGTGCAGAGTTGGGCATGCAAACAAGTAATCTGGAAAAAACAAAGAAACAAAAAGAGGTGAAAGAGTTGATTGTTAGAGACCATGTTTGCTCCTAGATTCAAAAACAAAGGGTTGTAATGCTTGCTGACTATTAACAGGAGAGAGGCCAAATGCTTTATAGGCAAATGTAGGTGCAATGCAAAGCCTACAAACAAGTAAAGTGAGTTAGACTAGTCAGTCTTCATTGATGTTTACACAGCTGGACTCCATAACTTTTCACTCATCAAGGAAGACTTGGCTTTATAAATGTTGAGCATAGGTGGTGTTTAGTACAGCTTTTGTTATGATATAAAGGTGGGTACATGCTAGAATTTTCTTAAAAACAATGTGAATTCAAGTAACATTCTTAAATAAAGACTGCCGTATGTCACTTGTTTTTTTTTCACATTTTTATATCACCGGGCTACATACGTGACAGTGTATATCATTTGTTTATATTAATTTTATATTAATAATTATCATTTTAAAAGTGTGACAAATTGTCATGTTTTTTACTTTTTACGTATTCTGAAATTAGAAAAATTACCCTCTTAAATTTATTAAACATCAATAAAATCACAGACAACCACAGACATATTTTAAAATTTAAACACTTTCAAACATCAAACACCTTAAAATAATCAAGCACCTTGAAACATCACAATCTACTATCAATCAAATACCATGGATGTTTCGGATCGGTAGCCTCATGGAATTTACATGATCCTTAACAGCAGCAGATAAACTATTCTAATTTTTTTAGATGTTGATCTACTCTCCACCATGCTCTTGTCTTCTTCAGAGCTCTATTACACAGCTGGACTCCATAACTTTTCACTCGTCAAGGAAGACTTGGCTTTATAAATGTTGAGCATAGCTGCAATTTACAATTTATTATAAGTTAAAAGTTAATAATTAAAAAGTTAAAATAAAAAGTATTTTTTCTCTAATTTTTAAATAATTAATTTTTTTAATTTATTTAAGTTATTATAAAAGTGTGACAAATTGTCATGTTTTTTACTTTTTATGTATTCTGAAATTACTCTCCTAAATTTATTAAACATTAATAAAATCACAGACAACCATAGACATCCTTTTCAAATTCAAACAACCTCAAAAATCAAACACCTTAAAATAACCAAACACCTTGAAACATCACAATCTATTATCAATCAAACACCATGGATGTTTCGGATCGATTACCTCATGGAATTTACATGATCCTTAACATCAGTAGATAAACTATTCTGATTTTTTTAGATGTTGATCTACTCTCCACCATGTTCTTGTCTTCTTCAGAGCTCTACTTGTTTTTCGGGTATGTATTGTTTTATCTTCTTTCTCATCTCTACCTCAAACCCTCCTCTTTCTGTTTTTATTTATTTTTTATTTTTTTTATTTATACATTGTTTGGTTTTGATCATACAAAGATATATATATATACGCATATATCATGTTCTTGTAAAACAATTGATTTTATCTGATTTACTAGAACAATGCAAGTAAATTTTATATTACTAGCAGTGGGTGCAAACACGATGAGTTTGCAATTGTAGGTCTAAACTTTTCAATGGTTTGATTAATGAGGAAGATGTTTTAATAATTTCACTACCATGGCCTGTTCAATATTTGTTTCATTCACTACCTTCTCATTTTTTTATTTTTTTTTTGATCAGCCAAAAAAGAATTTTATTGATGAATATTCAAGCAATTAGAGAAGATATATCAGTAAAGAGGACAAATGCAAAAAGCGTCACAGCAGACCCATGTCATCCCAACAAGGTTGGCACCGCGAGGGCTACCCAGTCATATGCTAGCACCCCTTAAATGTTTGTGAGAAACCAACAAACACAAAAAACGGAGAAACAAGTTAAACACACATTCAGATCAAAACTCTATTGTGACCACCCCAACTTCAAATCAAAACTCTACTCCCCAAACACATCCTGATCTGCCTCAGATTGAAAATAAAATCTTGAACTAAAAAGTTGAACACCTTTAAGAATGGTTTCATCCACAAAGCAGTCCTAATCTTGATCAACTCACATAGCTTTGTCAGATTCAAATCAAGAAAAATCATGAAAATATATCAAGAAAATAAATATTTTTGCAATGATATACTCATCTGTAAGAGTTTCAGCTTTTAATGTTAAAAATACTTAAAGTTCTCATTATTACTACTCTTTGTTTAATTTTTTAATTTAACTGTATAAAAAAAAAAATCTAACTACTCTCCTATGCAACAATAAAATTATCAAAATTGTTCATCAAAAAATATTTCTCATATCACTAAAAATCATTAATTCACTTAATAATTTATTTACAAAAAAAAAAAAGAATTACAGTATTAATATTGCATAAAAAATTTTAATTATTAATATTGCATACAAATCAAAAAATAAATTTTAAATTAAAATATTACGATGTATAAAATTTATAATCATCCTTCATTTAAATATTAAGATGTATAAAGTGATAGTTTGAAAGAAGTTTTGTATTACAATTTTGGAACCAAGTGAAATAAAATTTATTTTGAGATTTCTACGAAACAGAACCGCTACAGACCCCCAGTGGGGGTCGCACCCCCAGTGAGGTGGCGTGCCCCCACTGGCCGAAACTCAAAAAAAAAATAAAAAAAATAAAACAGTTTTTTTTTTTTATCCAATCACCACCTGCCACCTCACTGGGGTCGACCGCCAGTGGGGGTCCGAAGCATTAATCTTTTTCTAAATACAAAAACTAAAATAGCCTATTAAAATAGTCAAAAAATCTTTAAAATAGTCACTTTCCAAATACCCACAATAAATACTAAATAAAATAATCTGAAAGCTGAGGGAATATTTTTAACTTCTGGAATCTAATTATCAATTTTGAAGTTGAGGATTAACACACCTTTTTTTTTTTTGGGTCAATAAATAGGAGAGGGATTAATACACCTACCAATTTTGAGTTGAGTCTATCACATTTAATAATTGGTCAAGTTATTGTCACGACGAAGGGCAAGAAGTTTCACATGGTGATTTCATGAAGTTTCTTGTCCAACTAATCCACATATTAATAACTTAAAATTTAACATTGCTTCCTATTCAACTGATTTAAATAAAAATGAAAACTTCTAGCCGTATAGAATTAGTTATAGAATCAGATACAATATTATGGGGAAAAAAAATAGTTTAAATTTTATTAGCATTATTTTTACATTTTTCCTTCTCTTTTTCAAATTCTTATCCAAATTTATAATTTAAACCCAAAATATTTAAATATCACCTAATGTAAAAGAGTTGTGTCCAATCCTATAATCATGTAACAAAGTTAAAAAAAAAACATATACAATTCAACAACTTTATTAAATGCCGTATTGGTTGCATAGATAAGAGGTGCTAAGTGTTAATTTTTTTTTTCTTCTTCTAATACATTGTCAGCCATAGTTTGGAAGAGAATGAATTGAACACTTAACTTGAGTGTAATTTTAAGCCTTATAAAAAGAAGATTTGACATTGGTTTTCTATATATATATATATATATATATTTAGAGAAAATTGGTGAAAGTCCAACCCAAAGGGGTATAAATCATTAAATTCAAAGTAAAATTTTCATCATCATCATCATCATTCCAATTCCATAAAACCTAATATCATTTCCATTTCCTTTTTACTAAATCAAAACATTCACATTTTAGGGCAAAACCCCCTTTATTTATAAATCAACGAATTTGTTAGATTATATTTTAGTGATTGTCCAAATTATTATGGTGTGTGCAGCTAAGTAGTGTGTAATGTTTTAGAGGTGGGATAGTTTTGGTATTACGTTGGGTCCCTAGAAACTTTATTAATGTTTAAATTTTATTAATGCGGATTCAAACAAATGGAATTCCATTAAAAAAAAAAAAAATTAATGATAATAATAATAATGATAAGCAGGGACTGTAAGCGCCACCCTAATATAATACTACTATACTAGTTTTCTCCATTATTCACGTTATGGAGTGTGAAATGCTCTATGAAAAAAAAAACAAATCCAATAATCATATTTAAATAATTTTTTCATATGTATTTATTTTTTTAAAATGAATGACAACTGTTTTTTAAGTTAAATATAAAGAAATTATATGATTATAATTATCAAATCAATTTCAAATTTAAAAAATGTTATGGTGCGAGACATTCACCCAGAATTTTTTGAGTGGGTAATTATGTGGTGAAGATTAAATTTGTATAGTGTGAGATTTATGTGTAGAATGAATATGAACCACAAGATAATAATTTTAAATAATTTTTGAGTAATTAATTTTAAATTTATAATATTACTGTTAAAATTTTAACTAAATATAACTTAATAGATAAACCATCCAAATAATTAAAATTAGATCCGTAGCAAACATCACATATTCAAATAACATTCTCCAATATAAAAAGAAGACTAAAGAGGATCTTTCCACCCTAGAGCTTTTCATAAAGTATGAAGAGGATCTTTCCTGCTCCAGTTTTCCATAAAATGTGTTTTACATGTCATATCTCGCTCAATGCCGGCCTTATTGGTGAAGTGCTCATTGATGAGTGAAGCACGTTTTGGTTAATAATAAAATTATATATATCAATTGATATATTAATAGATGATTTAATATAATTTTAGAAATTTTAAATTTTTATAGTTTGAATAATGGATGAAATCTATAATTTTTAAATGACAATGTCTTAGTATGCGTTGGTACATAAATTGATATACTAATTGATATATGTAACACTATTGGTTAGTTAACTCGGTAGACCAACGTTGTTAAAATCAAATCATTGTGAGAGGCTCTTGGATTGAATCATAAAATTATATTGCGAATTGTAAGATTCTGTTTTCAGTGTAAAATAAAACAAAAATTTATCAATTGAAATGAATTTAATTAGATGAATTTACAATTTTGAGTTGAGTCTATCACATTTAATAATTGGTCAAGTTATTGCCATGCCGAAGGACAAGAAGTTTCACATGGTGATTCCGTGAAGTTCCTTGTCCAACTAACCCACATATTAATAACTTAAAATTTAACATTGCTTCCTATTCAACTGATTCAAATAAAAATGAAAACTTCTAGCTGTATAAAATTAGTTATAGAATCAGATACAATATTATGGGGAAAAGAAATAGTTTAAATTTTATTTACATTATTTTTACATTTTTCCTTCTCTTTTTCAAATTCTTATCCAAATTTATAATTTAAACCCAAAATATTTAAATATCACCTAATGTAAAAGAGTTGTGTCCAATCCTATAATCATGTAACAAAGTTAAAAAAAAAAAACATATACAATT